AGGCACTGGTCCCACCCACGTCTGTTCGTCCAGAATTCAGTCCCCAGGCCGGCCACACCAGGCTGCAGAGAGGCTGGGGAGTGAGACCTGTCCTGGTCTGTGTTGCCACAGAGGACAGGGGACAGACAATGGGATAAGGAGCTGTCCTGAACACCCCCACGACAATCACAGCCGCACGTAGGGTGGGCTCTTGATTTCCAGGCAAGAAAACGATGCCTGGAGTGAGCTGAGGAGGTCCCTGTGCTGCCGGCCCAGGCTCCATGTCCAGGTGTCCTCAACCTTTACCTCCCACTTCATTTATATATGTATTTATTTAGAGACGGAGTCTTGCTCTGTCGCCCAGGCTGGAGTGTAGGCACGATCTCAGCTCATTGCAACCTCCGCCTCCCAGGTTTAAGCAATTCTCCCTGCCCCAGACTCCTGAGTAGCTGGGATTACCCACCACCACGCCCAGCTAATTTTTTTTTTTTTTGAGACGGAGTCTTGCTCTGTCGCCCAGGTGGGAGTGCAATGGTGCAATCTCTGCTCACTACAACCTCCGCTTTTGGGTTCAAGCAATTCTCCTGCCTCAGCCTCCTGAGTAGCTGGGATGACAGGTGCATCCACCACACCCAGCTAATTTTTGTATTTTTAGTAGAGACGAGGTTTCACCATGTTGGTTAGGCTAGTCTCGGATTCTGGACCTTTCATCCACCCACCTCAGCCTCCCAAAGTGCTGGGACTATAGGCGTAGGCCACTGTGCTGGCCTACATTTTTATTATTTTTTTTTTGTTAGTATAGACAGGGTTTCCCCATGTTGGCCAGGCTGGTCCTGAACTCCTGACGTAAGGTGATCCACCTGCCTTGGCCTCCCAGAGTGCTGGGATTACCTCCCACTTGTAAGTGAGAACACACATAGTTTGCGTGGAGGATGGGAGGAGAGGACTGAACACTTCCTGCCGGTGCTGCGCTTACTATCCGGGTCATGACATAATCTGTACACCAAACACCCGGGACGTGCAATTCACCTGCATCGCAAACCTGCACATGTACCCCTGACCCTAAAATGAAAGTTAAAAAGTAAGTACATAAAATTTTAATAATACAATATCAGGGAAAAAAGGCAAATTAGTCCTCCTATGGGCATGCTGCAGTGAACGGGAGGGTCGCCGCAGTGAACGGGAGGGTCGCCGCAGTGAACAGGAGGGTCGCCGCTGGAACCCAGCTGCCGGGTTTTGGATACGAGTCCTCCACTTCAACGCTAACAAAACGAGCCTCTTTCTTTCCTCTGTGCCGCGTCTCTTCCAGTTTGGAGAACACAGAAGATGAAAACAGAACAGGCTTTCCAAGGTGTGCTGGCAAGGGGCCGCAGAATGCACTGACCACCTAGAACGTTCCAAGCCCCTCCCCACGAGCCCTGAGATTAAACTCGGCTTCTGCCCACTGCTCTCTTGGTCCCCAAAACACAAACGCAATTTCCATTTACAGGCACCCTGGACGTGGCGTTAGCTGCAAGGATCACGCTGCTGTCACTAGGAGTGCCTCCAGCTTATGTTTCTTATCTGATCCTCCTGTGGTACATTTTAAGCATCTGATTAGAAACTTTCCTGCAGAAATACTATGCTCCTGAAGCACACTCTCTTCCTCCGAAGGGGTGCTGTGTGTCATACCAAGCAGATGGCACACTGGGCAGCCACCTTCAAGGAGCTCCCGCTCTCCTGTATGAACAGAAGGCAGAGGTGGCAGCGGATCCTCACCAAGCTTCCCTCTTCCTGCTCTGCACTGTCGGCTCCTTGACAGAAGCTATTCATTTCATGGCGAGTGAAAGCTGGGAGAGGTGAAGATGAATGAGCACGCACAGACAAACAGCCATCCCTCTGCCCTCATCGGGGTCTGTGGCCCCCACGGAACCTTCCACTCCAGGCCTCCCCTGAGTTCTGCTAATGATTATAAATGGCAAGGAATCTCCACTTTAATTGCAAAAGGTAATGATGCAGTGAGCGTAAGATTAGATTCACCACAGAAGGCAATATCCTCAAACAATAAAAAAAAAAAAACATTGAGAAGCTGGGTGTGAAGATGGCTGAAATCAATAGGAAGGGTTCTGTATTAAATACCACAGTGGAAGGTCACAAAGTGATATCGACAGAACTGCTGACAGTGGATAAAAACGGGGGAGAGAAAACTAAATTGATCTCTGCAGAAAATAAGTTACAGATTAATCACCCTACCATGAAATCCTTTTGAGATGACCGAAGGTCTGAAGATGTGTTCAGTTTGATTACAGAATAGGTCTCCAAAGTTGGGACAAATGAGAACCTGCTGCATCCTAACATGCGGAACTTGAGGTCTCCTTTCTCTCCGGCATCCTTCCTGAGACAGCACGCACAGCAGGTGTGCAAAAGGCTCCACCCAGCTCTTCCCACACCAGGAGCTGGGCCTTCTGCCCAAGTGTCTACGCCAGGAGCTAGGCCTCCTGCCCAAGTGTCTACACCAGGAGCTGGACCCTCTGTCCAAGTCTCTACACCAGGAGCTGGGCCCTGTGCCCAAGTGTCTACACCAGGAGCTGAGCCCTCCACCCAAGTGTCTACACCAGGAGCTGGGCCCTCCGCCCAAGTGTCTACGCCAGGAGCTGGCCCTCCGCCCAAGTGTCTACACCAGGAGCTGGACCCTCCGCCCAAGTGTCTACACCAGGAGCTGGACCCCCTGCCCAAGTGTCTACACCAGGAGCTGGACCCTCCGCCCAAGTGTCTACACCAGGAGCTGGCCCTCTGCCCAAGTGTCTACACCAGGAGCTGGACCCTCTGCCCAAGTGTCTACACCAGGAGCTGGACCCTCTGCCCAAGTGTCTACGCCAGGAGCTGGACCCTCTGCCCAAGTGTCTATGCCAGGAACTGGACCCTCTGCCCAAGTGTCTACGCCAGGAGCTGGTCCCTGTGCCCAAGTGTCTACTCCAGGAGCTGGTCCCTCTGCCCAAGTGTCTACGCCAGGAGCTGGGCCCTCTGCCCAAGTGTCTACGCCAGGAGCTGGGCCCTCTGCCCAAGTGTCTATGCCAGGAGCTGGGCCCTGTGCCCATGTGTCTATGCCAGGAGCTGGGCCCTGTGCCCAAGTGTCTACACCAGGAGCTGGTCCCTGTGCCGAAGTGTCTACACCAGGAGCTGGGCCCTGTGCCCAAGTGTCTACACCAGGAGCTGGTCCCTGTGCCGAAGTGTCTACACCAGGAGCTAGGCCCTCTGCTCAAGTGTCTACACCAGGAGCTGGGCCCTGTGCCCAAGTGTCTACTCCAGGAGCTGAGCCCTCTGCCCAAGTGTCTACGCCAGGAGCTGGCCCTCTGCCCAAGTGTCTACGCCAGGAGCTGGACCCTCTGCCCAAGTGTCTATGCCAGGAGCTGGACCCTCTGCCCAAGTGTCTACGCCAGGAGCTGGGCCCTGTGCCCAAGTGTCTACGCCAGGAGCTGGACCCTCTGCCCAAGTGTCTACGCCAGGAGCTGGGCCCTGTGCCCAAGTGTCTACGCCAGGAGCTGGTCCCTGTGCCCATGTGTCTACACCAGGAGCTGGGCCCTGTGCCCAAGTGTCTACACCAGGAGCTGGGCCCTCTACCCAAGTGTCTACACCAGGAGCTGAGCCCTCTGCCCAGTGTCTCTCCCAAAGCCTACCATGAGCCTGGCATTTTAATAGGAAAGTATATTCCTCTTTCCTCCTGGAAGTTTACAGTCATGTGGGAAAGTCCTGCTAAAGCACAATGGAGGGAAGGGGCTAGGAAGCGTCGCCATCAACCATGACCAGGCTTCCTACCAAATCTCCCAGAAGGTGGAAGATGATGAATATATCTCCCCAACCTGTAGGTGTGGTCTACGAGGGTCAATTTCAGGCATGAAATGTCATTCAAGTTTCCTGTTTTATCTTAAAAGTTTGCATGAAATTTGCATTCTACTCCAAGAAATGAAGCTATGCCTTATATTTAAAGTTTTTCATAAAAATAATGATTTTCTTCCTTAAATACCATCAGTGCTCAGGGTGAACGCCCAACACTTAATTCCGTAGTGAAAGCTGTGAGACTCTCTTCTGTCCATTCAAAGGTTTAAAGCTTTAACAGGGCATTTAATATTTTTAAGTCTTGCTTATGTACCACTTATTAATAATGATGAATCATTATTCATGCCATCTCGTCAGCTAGAGGGTTGAGGAAAGGACTTATTAATATTCTAAGCCACTGTGTGGGAGAAGAGCTAAAAAAAAACATGGTAAGAACAAACAGATCTAAGCTGAGGCCGCCACTGGAGAAGTCTATCCAATGGCTATTTGCGTGATCCTTAGACTGCGTGTAGGCAATGCGGCCCTCAAGGTCTAAATGACATTGTAAGCGCTATCGGTTCAAAGTTCTTGCCTTTTTTCCTCTCTAAAGTGGCTACTTTGACATAAACAAATGCAAGAAAATGATGAAAATATAAAAGCCACATTTTAAAAGAGAAAATTTTAAGAAATCAAATATGAAAATATATGTATTAATATTCACTCTGTGAGAGACAAAGCATTCACACGATGCATATTTAAAAGCAAAACCAACCCAAAGAAAGTGCTAAAAGTTATTTTCACAACTCGTGCAAATACGTTAAAAGAGCGAGGCACCACTACAAAATTAAAATGTTATTACTGCCCCTACTTAAAAGTATGATTTTACCCAAATATACTTTAAGAATCCATTCATCAAAAGGATGGCATGTCTGAAACAGCAGAAAATTCTCCTGGGCATCCCACTCTGTCCTTTGCTCAACATGCAGCAAAAGGCGGACGTTTTGTAAACTGCTGCGTTCTGTGTCGTATCTCACAAGCCCTGAGTGACATCTAAACAGCGTTACCTGAAAGACCCCATCACTCAGTTCTTTGATTGATAATTCAGTCTGTTCATTAAGGTCAAAACGCTAAACTGATATGAATAAATAATTATATTCTGAATTTAGCCAAAGTTCCTATTTAAAAATATGAAAACGAACAAATGCTCTGTTGTTCTTTTGACTTACCACAGCCTGGCTTGAGCTTTCCTGTAAATCCCACAGCAGGATATGGTTATCAGCCAATGAAATGATTTTCTTCCCGTCTCCCATTGGCTCCCACATGACACTAAGAGAAAGAGAAGTACCAAATGTTAACGTAAACGTTTGCGAAACCCAGCCTGGTAGCTCAGAGCTGTGATACACATTCTTCATGATGCAGGAGCCCTGTTCCATCCCGCAGTCACTAGAGTATTTATTATGCTGTCATCTGGCAGACCCTGTCACAGTGCACATTACTGTTGTCTCACTGTTATGGACTGTGTCCCCTGCCACATTCACGTGCAGAAGTCCCAGACTCCCACCCAGTGTGGCACGGCAGGTGCCCCTCAATATACACCAGGGCCATGTCCCCACCTCCATCGTAGTTTAAAATAGCATGAGCTGAAAATGTAGTGAATGCACCTAACCCACTCATGGTCAGAGCCAGCCCAGCCTACCTTAAACACGCTCACAACACTCACATCAGCCTGCAACTGGGAAAATCATGTAACACAAGACCTACTTCAAAAGAAAGTGCTGAATATCTCATGTAATTTATTGGATATCATACCAAAAGTGAAAGCTAAAATGGTTGTATGGGACTCGACATGCAGTTTCTCCGATGTGCAGCACTTCCATGCCATTGTAAAGTTGAGAGGCCATAAGTTGGGACTGTCTATATTTGAAATGGAGCCTTTGAGAGGTGATTAGGATTAGAGGAGGTCATGAGGGTGGGGCCCTTGCAATGGGATTCGTGCCCTTATAAGAGACCTGGAGGGCAGGCTTCCTCTCTCTCTCTCCGTCACATGAGGACACAGCGAGAAGGCAGCTGTCTATACATCAGTAAGAGAGCCCTCACTAGGAAGCAAATCAGCCAACACCATGATCCTGGACTTCCAGCCCTGGGAACACATTTCTACGTTGATGCTGCCCAGCATGTGGCATTTCCTATGGCAGCCCAAGCTAAGACACTCGCCAATGTAGGCTTCATCAGTAACTAAGGAATGGACATTGACCAGCTGAGGGAGACCTGTGGGGACTGGAGAGTGGAGAGGCAGCGAAGAGAAGGTGATTTGCACAGGATGCCCACACCCTCTGTAGCGACCCCCTTAGGCACTCAAGTACTGAAGGAGGTAGGAGGGCAGAGCTCAGAGCAGGGCGGGGTACTGTCACCGGCCACACCAGGTGCAGGGTCTGCCCTGCCTGTGATGTCAGGCCATTTCTTGTTGTTTGAGCCAATTTGAGCCACAGTTTCCCGTCATCTCCCCTCAAGTCATCCTAACGGATACAGTGTGTATTCAGTTACTCAACATAGACCAAAACCCTCACATCTCTGCAGTAAAGCCATCAGGGACCAAGAATTTTTCAACTTGGTTGCAAATATGGGTCTCTGTTTTCTCTGGTGAAATTCTTAAAATACTTATTTACAAAGAAGGGAATTTCATTCCATGTGCTTTAACTTGTGAGTAACTAAAGACATCAATAAGGTACTACACTATTTCTTTTTCAAACACAACACAACACAACACAACACAACACAACACAACACGGACTGACTGGGGGCACCCTCCAGCATACCTCTCTTACACCATCACCTTAGGACTGGCCATGGAGCTCTTATTATGTGTAATCACAACATTAATATCATTCAAAACCACAATTTCGTTCTCATTTATAGTTTAAGGAACACACAGAAAGCTCACAGTACTGTGCTCAAACGCCTATCACACCTAGATTGACAAAGAGTTCTCTGTCTCTTATCTAATCATCATCAAAATAAACACGACCAAAACTCTACAGCTAGGATGCCGAAAAACCTGCTCCTGTCCAGGTAAGACAATGGCGTGTCCACTGCTCCTGTCCAGGTAAGACAATGGCGTGTCCACTGCTCCTGTCCAGGTAAGACAATGGCGTGTCCACTGCTCCTGTCCAGGTAAGACAATGGCGTGTCCATTGCTCCTGTCCAGGTAAGACAATGGCGTGTCCACTGCTCCTGTCCAGGTAAGACAATGGCGTGTCCACTGCTCCTGTCCAGGTAAGACAATGGCGTGTCCATTGCTCATGTCCAGGTAAGACAATGGCGTGTCCACTGCTCCTGTCCAGGTAAGACAATGGCGTGTCCACTGCTCCTGTCCAGGTAAGACAATGGCGTGTCCATTGCTCCTGTCCAGGTAAGACAATGGCGTGTCCACTGCTCCTGTCCAGGTAAGACAATGGCGTGTCCACTGCTCCTGTCCAGGTAAGACAATGGCGTGTCCACTGCTCCTGTCCAGGTAAGACAATGGCGTGTCCACTGCTCCTGTCCAGGTAAGACAATGGCGTGTCCACTGCTCCTGTCCAGGTAAGACAATGGCGTGTCCACTGCTCCTGTCCAGGTAAGGCAATGGCGTGTCCACTGCTCCTGTCCAGGTAAGACAATGGCGTGTCTACTGCTCATGTCCAGGTAAGATGATGGCTGATCCTAATGGTGAAGATGTTTCTTTGGAGCAAAATGATCCCACTTCTCTCAGCAGCCCAGTTATCGCAGGTAAGCATAGGTAGAGTTCGGACAGCTTGACAATGAATTCCAAAGGATAGCTGCCATGCAGGGAGAGAAGGATGTGCCGCGCAGCTCACAGAGCTTGTGCTGGCGGAGGAACGCACTTACTGAGTGGGACATTTTCTATGTGACGGGCCGTAAATTTAGGGGAATTCGTAAGCTCCCTGGCAGATCTCACTTAGAACTCAAGTGTGCTCCCCACCAGAAGCAAGCAAGCAAAAGGCTGCAGCAAGGAGTGTCCGTGTGGGCCATGCCAATGAACGCGGGGACAGTGACTTGGCAGCATGGTATGAGCAGGACGCAGTCGACATCAGCACCAGGACACTTGGGGTTTTTAACAGAGGCTCCAGAAAGCCAGAGATTCCCTTCCCAACTAACTCACACATCACAGGATGAGAACTAGCCCATCTGATGTCAAAGACTCACTACCTAATTATGAATCAAAGTTAAGAGCTTATAAGTTATCCACATTTCCATAGAGCAATTTTAATAGCACACAAACACTAACCTTGACTACCTTCTTTGGTGCCATAAATATGTGACTAAAGTGTCCCTAAATGGATTAAAGGTTTCTGAATCATACACCCCATCTATTAAAACTCTTCTATGTTCCCCACAATGACCAGCAACCTTTGGGGTACACAACAATTAATACTTGTTGATGAATTCTAAGAGTGAAGAATTCCAGGTAAGAGTGAAGATGTCATATTAACGAATGAGACTATTTTAAAATAAACTTAGTTAACCATTAGTACATTTGGATTTGGATAACAGCCAACAACCCTAGAATGAGGAAATGTGTTACAGGCCTCTGAACGACTTCGAACCTTTGAATATTGCATTTCAAAGAGCAGCGTCCTCAAGCCCTTCGCTCAGAAGACAAGTGTGCCCTTTCAATGGCCCACAGTCCCAACATATGTGGTCGTCTGGTTTCTAAGTCCACGAGAGAACAAAGTTGTGGATGAGGAGAGAAAAGGGGTGGCTGAAAACAGAAACGAAGGTGACTCCACAAGCCAAAAAAGATGATTAACTCTGAGCAAAACCGACTTGGGGAAGGAAGCAAAAATACAGGAATCAGACAGACCCAGAACCGAAGAACCTAGGGCAGTGCGTTCTGGACGGACTCTGAAAATCCAGCATGTGCTCACAAGCCGTGAGGGCGACACGGCTTTACAGTTTGTGTTGGGAGCTGTTCTTAGTCATGACCAGGAATCGCTGGGATCTACGTGCAGTAAGCTCTAGCTAAGAAGTGGGATACGTCAAAATATGTTCTGAAAAGTTTTCATCTAAATGTTTTTCTTTAATTTGACGTTTAACTTCCATAAACATAGGTGCTTAATAAAACTCAAATTATCCAGAAATAGTAACCCCATATGATTATAATTTGTCAATTAACAAAAAAAATTAAAAACGACAACCTAAAGATGTCAGATTTAGATTCAGATCAGCTAAGATTTAGATCCAAATTTTTTTTAATGGAGTTAACCTCATGTAAAAACACTGTACAAAGAGGTGTACATTATATCCCACTGTAGATTAGAGGCTGAAGCCACCCTCTGTGAAGCCACACGCTCCACAGAGAGAGGTAGACACCAGTATCACGGGTCAAATCTGATGGCAGATATTCAGAAACCACGTATCACAAAAATGCTACAACCAGCAAGGCCCAGCACGGTACCAGTCCGAGACAGTATTTCCTGGGCCCCAGCGAAAATCTTCAGAGGTTCTACTGGCTACCCTGATATACCTGTCAGAGTGCAATAGCACCTTAGCTAAGAAACCCCGTGGCCAATCCCAGGCAGTAGGTGAAGTTTCACTCCCCACTCCCCCATAAGCAATGCTGACTATAGGTAAGTCAGGGGCACACCCAGCACAGCCCTGGTACACTCTAGAGCGCTCACAGTGAGTCAGGTGCACACCCAGCACAGCCCTGGTACACTCTAGAGCGCTCACAGTGAGTCAGGTGCACACCCAGCACAGCCCTGGTACACTCTAGAGCGCTCACAGTGAGTCAGGTGCACACCCAGCACAGCCCTGGTACACTCTAGAGCGCTCACAGTGAGTCAGGTGCACATGTACATGATGGCCATAGTACATTCCAGACATTCATAGAATCAGGTACACACACAACAGTTGAAGTACACTGGAGCACTCACAGTGAGCTGGAGACACATGCACACAAAGGCCATGGTACATTCTAGAGCATTTATAGAGTCAGGTACACACACTCACGATGGCTGAAGTACACTCTAGAGCATTCACAGTGAGTCAGGTGCACACACACACAATGACTGTGGTACATGCTGGAGCACTCACAATGAGTTGGGGACACACACACACAATGGCCATGGTATACTCTGGAGCATTTATAGAGTCGGGAGTACACGCAATGGCTGTGGACAGCTCTGGGACATTCTGAAGCATCCATTTCATGTCCTAGGGAGGTGACGGCCATAATCAGGTGCTCCCGAAAACCTGTTTCCCAAATCCTCTTGTGTTTTTTGTTTTGCTTAGCAAGACACTTACGTATGTATTTGAATGGGTACCAG